CATCGCGAATAACATTTGAAAATGATATAAAATGTTGAAAATTCGTAATTAATATTTTTTTAAATTCGCATTAACTTGAGAACGGTTGGACTTGGGAAATACGTTTATATGACCAAATTTCTCAAAAAATATGCGTAGAACCCAAATAAATCATTATAGTTCTAAGAAATATACAACTTCGTTATATTTAGAAAATCAATAAAAATTAAAAAAAAAATAGAACTGTTACTAGAAAATGGTTTGTTTGATTGGTTTGGTGCCTTAGGCAATGTTGTAGGTAATGGCAGGGCCTATTAAAAAAATTTAAAATCTGAAACAAAAACGCGACACATAAAAATAAAAGATTAAAAATTATGTTTCTCTAAAACGAATATTTCTTATTTTTGATATGTTTTAGAGGATAAAAAAATGCCAACTTTTTTACTATAGGTCATGATGGAAAAATGTTGAACAAAACTTATACGACTTGGTATAATGAAAGAAGATCAAATTTACAATGAATAAGTAGGGGATATGGCTCAAATGTTGGCCAATGGATCTAAGATTGAGCCCATCGCTAAAACTCTGCTATTTATAAATTTTATGTAGATGAACTCGTCATTGGAACGGTACTAATGGATTTTTTTGGTCGCACAAATTAGGGATATTTAGGCCGACATTACATCTATTTCCCCTACCTGTGTAAAATATTTATAAGTGGCACCGTTTTCGAGATGTGGAGGTTTGGAAGAAATGAAATCTGATTGTTCAGTAACATACACATAGGTTAGATTATTTTGATCATATCGATGAGCATTTTTAATGAAACAAATATTGTAACTGTTTTGTTCATAATTTTTACATCACGATCTGTACTGAATTACATTTATTATCACCTAGAACATATAAAAAAAAATTAAAAAAATAAATGTTTTTGAGAAAAAAAATCATTTTTTAGCTTTTATTTACATATGGCGAATTTTTTTTGAGTGTACATATTTTTCAATAGTCCCAGCTATTACCTACCTCATTTCTGAAGGCACCAAACCGATCGGAAAAACCATTTTCGAGTAACAGTTTTCCGAATATATGCTTAATGTTTTCTATATGGTCGAAAAAAAAAAAGATCCAGGAGCTGCAAAAAAATAATCAACGATCAGAACAAAACCAAGGCTTACGTCCCTTAATTAGATTCGTTCGAATGATAAAATATTAGGATCAACGCTCAAAATGTTGTCCTTAAATTAAATTAATGATTGTAAACATCCTCAACAAAGATAACTTATACATCAAAATAAACGAGTCTGAGGGAAATCAACACAAGCATATTCGACCATTTGACTTGATATTGATCAGTTTCTTACTTGATTACCATTTTAAAGCTTATTCCGAACTTTAAAAAATATTGGCTCAAGCAAGCAATGATAAACAAATAATGAGAAAGTACCGAACGAGTCTCTGGATTGTGAGCGGGTTTGAGAGGATGCAAACAAAGGCAAGGAAATTAATATGTTTTAAGCAAAATAACTTGATAATTGAAAGTGATCGACTCCACATCACTCTGGGCAAAAGGAACGTTTCGGCAAATTTTCATCCAAATTAAAAAATATAAGAATAAATGGATTGGCGAATTAGTATGGAACCGCTAAACTATTTTAAATAAGGGTCATTCCAACTCAAGTGGGTACAGAATTTAAAAAAGTTGTGGTCGATGTCACCGATTTGAGCCAAACTTGGCCAAAATGCTTATTTTGGAATTCTGAACAAACGCCTTTTTTGATTTTGCTCTAATGTGCCTAGATCCTTCTGGGCTACAACCCTGAAAAAATGGGTTGGAAATTTTTTTTTAAGGAATTTTTTTTTGACTCCTAAAAACGCTCCAAATCTTGATTTGAGCCGTATTAACGGAGATAAATCGATTTAAAGATTTTCATACCCGCCAGCCTGAAAACAATGGGTTGGGACATATTTTTAGAGGAAATTTTTTTTTACTCCTAAAAACTCTCAAAATCTCGATTATTTTTTTACTCCTAAAAACTCTCAAAATCTCGAGTATTAACGGAGATAAATCGATTTTCATACCCGCCAGCCTGAAAAATGGGTTGGGAATTTTTTTTGAGAATTTTTTTATTACTCCTAGAAACGCTCCAAATCTTGATTTGAGCAGTATTAACGGAGATAAATCGATTTAAAGATTTTCATACTCGCCAGCCTGAAAAAATGGGTTGGGAAATTTTTTTTGAGAATTTTTTTTTACTCCTGAGAACGCTCCAAATCTCGATTTGAGCAGTATTAACGGAGATAAATCGATTTAAAGATTTTCATACCCGCCAGCCTGAAAAAATGGATTGGGAAATTTTTTTTGAGAAAAAAATTTTTTTACTCCTGAAAACGCTCCAAATCTTGATTAGAGCCGTATTAACGGAGATAAATCGATTTAAAAAATTTCATACCCGCCAGCCTAAAAAATGGGTTGGGACATAGCTTTGAGGAAATTTTTTTTAACTCCTGAAAACGCTCCAAATCTCGATTAGAGCCGTATTGACGGAGATAAATCGATTCAAAGATTTTCATACCCGCCAGCCTGAAAAAATGGATTGGGACATGTTTTGTACTATAACAAAAACAAAATGTTTTTACACATATAAGAATCTACATTAAAAAAACCTTCAAGTTGACGTTCTAAGATCACGAATAGCTTATTTGGTTGTGGAGTAATCTCTTCTGAAAGTTGAAATTTTTAAAAATCTCGAAAATCCAGGGTTGTAGCCCAGAAGGATCTAGGCACATTAGAGCAAAATCAAAAAAGGCATTTGTTCAGAATTCCAAAATAAGCATTTTGGCCAAGTTTGGCTCAAATCGGTGACATCGACCACAGGTGGTGGACCCATAAGTGTGATTACATTTACAAATATCACCATCTTAGCACCGCTCGGTGGGATCAACGGGTGGAAGCTGGCTCACTACTTGACTAGCCTATTGGTCCCAAGTACATCTATAAGCGTACCCCATTCTAGTCGATATTCTATTACTACGTTATGTTTGTTTTGATTCGCTATGAAAGTTTGACAGATAAAATGAGGGGTTCGTGGATTTTCCTATGTTTCGAGAGGTGCATCGATTAGCTTGGGACCGCAGATAGTACCAGAGCTGAGCCAAAAAGTGGGGCACGTTTCTTCGGGACCTCTACGGTGGGACTTTGTATGGGAACGAGCAGTCAATGTGATAGTTTAGTGTCAAACAGTGAAATAATTATTTTGCTTTAAATCTTGATTTAAAAATCGAGATGAAAGTCTATGGGTTCGAAAAAAAAAATTTCGTTGTGCTCAGAAAACGAAAATCTTTCAGATTGTGTAAAATTGATAAATTTTTCAAAATTAAGGAATCCAATTTGTTAGTTTTGTGCCAAACAGTAAAGGGGTTATTTTTCTTTAAATTTAGATTTAAAAATCGAGATGCAAGTAAATGGGATCGTAAATTAATATCGTTGTGCTCAGATATCGATATATTTTTGAAAATTAAAGAACCCAATTTTGAAGTGTGCTAGCCTACGTGATTTAAATAGGTAAGGCCAAAAATTGGTACCACTGGCGCATATTGCGTATTTTGTGCCATAACTGGCGAACTTACTCTACTTTCAGTTTTGTTGTGATAAGCGAAGATAGAACCATTGGATTTCAGTCTAACCAATCATTCTCATGAACCCAAGCATGAATCAAAAGAAATAAAATTTAACGGTCATGCTCAAATTGTAGTAACGTAAACAATCATCTCTCGCGTAACATTTGAAAAGGGCCTATGTCCAAAATGTAAACAATCCAGAAAATGAATTGTAAATTTTTCCGCCAGTATTTAATTCCTATATAAATAAATTGAAGTATTTTAGGCATTTATATTGTTCACAATAACAATAGTAACTATATCTCAGTACACAACATCCAAAACATGCGAAAGGTTTTCAAAAATACATGAAAATCGATAAAAATTTAATATCACAGTAATAAGCCTTTTTGTGAATCTTTAATTGGTTAGGCCTTTTTTGTTAAGCCGTTGTGCTTGTCATCATAAATTGTAGGCCCTTTGCTAAGCCTTTTCTTAACGTCAAATAAATCATCGGCCCTGCCTCAGCAGTAGGGCCTAGCTTTGATTTGAAATTTTTCAATCATCGGCCCTTCTACGTCGCTAGGCTTATGAATGGAACCTCATCGAACGAAAAAAATATATGTTAGGCCCGAGGTTAGGCCGTTTTAGCATGAATGATTGGAAAAATTTCGTGGATCGGCCGTTTTTAAAATCAAGTTATTTTTAATGATTTTTATCGATAATGCGGAACATTCCTATACGACTGGTAGCTAATTACCAGTGCTACAGAATGGTATCAAAAATCGGTTTGTTTACATTTTGATCATAGGCCCTATTCAAATGTTACGCGAGATTCTCCGTATCGCTTTCGAAGGGGTCTTGCTGCAATGGATAGACGGAAAATAATTGACGTAGTAAGCATTTTTCATAGCCAAACGGGAAAGGGGGAGATATCGATGTTTGGTGACACACGAAGCACGCGATCATTGCCGTTGCTCATAGCTGGAAAACAATTTTATCATTTATTTAGTTTGGCTAGGTTATCACCTTTGTGACACACCTTCTTTTTAGCAAACTGCAGTAGATTCTCAACTTGTAGGAACAGTAAGGCACACCTTCACTTGTATGTTGGTTGTGGATAGTTTTAAACTTCAACAACTTTCAGAAATTTTCATACACGATTTCAACTTTATACGGATCCTCGATCGTTAATCCACTGACCCCTCATCATCATCAGCTTCTAACTGTATTGGTGATACCATAAACAATCGGACACCCGCATTCCATCTCGGATTGTCGTGAAGCAACAAAGTAGCTATAATAAGGCAAGGCTAAAACTGGAGGAGAAAAGTGTTTGCGCAGTGTTGACATTTTAAATTGTAGGCGCAATAGTTTCCAGAGTCAGTAGATTTTTTTTCATTGAAATAGTCGGTTCTCTAGTGAAGAAACGGTGGCGGAGAAAATGGATGTAGAAAAGTTAAAATGTGTTCTATGTCAGAGATTTCCGGATGCCGAGGTGTACGAGTGCGCTGCTCAGCATATCGGCTGCAAAGGATGTGTCGATAAGCTGAACGTTCGACTGTGCAAGGTAAGTTTGGTGGAATTTGCGATGGAAGGACTGTTCGTTTTATATAGTTGACTGTAAAAATAGCTTGTGACTTTTTCATTTGACAATTTATCCGTTTTGTTTGTTCTGGATATGTAATGATCCGGGGGGGATATCCAGGTTGGCGGAAAATAGTTTCGTATAGTTTCTGATCGGTGTCGCCACAATCATCCGTAGTAAAATCTGATGGAGAACAAGTGCAGAAGATTGACTTTATAGTGGTTCATTGATTCAATATACTGTTTACAGTTGGACCATAATGACGGTAACTAAGGGTAGGTTACGGTAAGCTCCGATAAGCTGTACACGGTAAAAAACATCATATTCATGTGAAGTGATTTGCTGTTGAATTTGCACTGCTTGCCAGACATTGCAAATCGATGTGCAAATCCCTTGGAAGAGATCATATCGAAGCACGATGAAATCAACAGCAAATCACTTCATTTTAGATTGTATTGACACATCTTTGTTGATGTGCTGTGCTTTGAACTCGAAATGCCACATACTGATATTAAAAATCTATCACTTTAAATTTAACTAATTTATCCTTGGATTTCATGTTTGCTGAATATGGATTTAAATAAATTTATTGTCTTGTTCATACTGCAAGCCTTGTTATAATTTATTCAGAATATGACCATAGAACATGACATGACACACTGATTTATCATTGATTTTCAAGTGATTTGCGTTTTGAAACAAAATGATTTGTCGTTGAAAAATATGTACTGTATAATACCTTTAAATCAAAATGATTATCATTTGAATTAGCACCATTGTTTACAACCATTGAATTTGATTAGTTTTGCTTTTGGAAGCAAATGTCAAAAACGCACATGCCAAACATTACTCGCGAAGATGGAAAGTCAACAACAAATTAATTAAGAGCAAGAAAGCGATATATCTTCATTTTCTTCCGAAATAATTAGTATTCTAGAGCGTGAGTATTAAGAAATTGTTGCTGTATTCAATAAAAGTGTATTATTCAGATAAGTTCAATTACAAAACATTGTCAAACTTATCAAATTGATTGCTCAATGTTACTTATATTACAAGCCTTGTAATGTTGTTCAATATCACTTGGAAACACGTGATCTGGGTAGTAATATGATACATGTTCTATGGTCATATTCTGAATAACTTATAACAAGGCTTGCAGTATGAACAAGGCAATATATTTATTTAAATCCTGCTTAAAATTAGGGGAACAGGATTTTTCAGTAATCAAAGGAACACATCTTAGTCATTGTTACTTTTTACGTCTTGTTGATAGTGCCAAACTCGGCTTTGTCTACCGAGGATGAACTTGAAACAAGGAAAAAAATGAGTTAGTTAGCCTTCATCTATGTGATTCCTAAACTTCTATGTGTTGTTCCCTCGTTTGAAATGGTTAAGACAAGGGTTCTGATGCATGGTCATTATCGGTGTTTAATTTTGTTGCTAAGGAATCCAATTTTGACTGACAAAGGGGCGCTTTGATGAGTGTTTCAACACTCCGAAGGGTACACAGCAAAAACAAAATTTTGTTATCACATCAAAGTGGATGCACTTCAATCCGACCTTCAATCGTGTCAAAATAATGGTGTAATAGTATTTGCCAAAAAGGACAACATTTTTGTGGCCATAAAAATTACATGAGATTTTCGGCATGATTGAAGTGCATCGTGTTTTGCTGTGTATAAATAGTGAGACCTTTCAATTATAGTCAGATCTTTGCGATAAATGCAAGAATGACTACTGTAAATAAATCGAATACTTCATCATCTCTCAATAGCGATGGAGTAAATAGGACATGCACTTAACTAAGGACACGGGATATACTAAAATAGATCAAATTACTGGTCGCAGTGGTGTTAGGTCCCGAACATAGGAAAAAAAAAAACGGTCCCAGCAAAAATATTCCGTAAATCTGGATCTGATAAAGGTTCTCTTTAAGTCATTTTGGACTTATGATCCTGGCTAAAATATTCCATAGAGTGTGGCACTTCAACCCACTACAGCAAAATCAAGTAAATATTACAATTCCAATCAAACATGATGCTGAGGACACTTGCATCTTCCAGGTTCGAAAGTTTTCCAGGAGTCATTTTGGACTTATGGTCATGACTAAAATATTCCATACCCTACTACGAATCGCTCGTGGCAACTTCTATACGACTTGTATCAGTCATAAACAGGTTGCTTCAACTTTTTTAGATGGAAATGTGCTACTTGGGTTGAGTGTGACACGTTAAATTACCACAGCAAATCCAATTGAATTTATTACGATGCCAATATAATATGATCCTTATGACTACTGCCACCTTCCGGGATCTGATTCTAGGGCCACTTTGTTGAAGTCGAAATTAATCGTTTTCCATATCAGTCCGCATCGTGCTCTCTTGCCGTGCGGATCTATTTGCTTTTTGCTTAAGGAAGTGTTACTACTACCTAAAGCTACAACAAATTTAAACAGCACTTTTCAGTGCTCAACCTGTAAAATTTTTCTACCTTGTTCAACTCCTCTTATTCCTCTTCGATCCTTGTTTGGACCCTACCCGAGGTAATCCTTCTTGGATATCGATTAGGAAAATTCCTCTTCGATCCTTCAGATTCTTATAGTAATCTGCTTGGAAGTCGATTTGGATAAAAAATTTACTGCCGCCATGGCGCCTAAACGCAAAAGAAAGGGGCAAACTCTTGACCCCCCTTCTGAAGAAATTAATTTGAGTAATCAATTTGATTTGCTCACGGATGATGAGAATGATCCATCATCCAAGAAAAATTCTAGTAAACTTTCCGGCTTAATGCCAAGAAGGAAAAGATTCCCCCTATTGTGATAACCACTACCGATTTCCATGCTCTTCGCATGGAACTTTTGAATTTCGTGAAAGTTAAGTTTTCACTACAAATTGGACGTCGGGGTGAATGCCGTGTATTGGCTGAAACCTTGGACGGATTTAAATGTCTTCTCAAGTATCTTACTGAGAAGAAGCACAATTTTTTTTTACTTACGACACCAAAACAGAACGTGTGTTCAAGGTTGTCATGAAAGGACTGCCCAGTGGTGAATCCCTGGATCAGATCAAAGATGAACTGGAAAAATTACTTGGAGTTGTGCCACTCCAAGTAATCAAAATGAAAATGAAATCCCGTCCTGGCGATTCGCGCAACGGGATTTCTAATGATTTTTATTTAGTTCACTTCAAGTCTAGTGAACTAAACAACCTTAAGGCCTTAGAAAAAGCTAGCCTTATGCTCCATGTCCGAGTGAAGTGGGAACACTTCAGGAAGACTGGAGGAAATTTCCAAAACCTCACTCAGTGCCGTAAGTGCCAGGGTTGGGGCCACGGAACTAAAAATTGCTACATGCCAGCTAAATGCATGAATTGTGGTGATTCCTCTCACGCAAAGGACGACTGTCCTGTGAAGGAAGATCCTAAGAAATTTAAATGTTCAAATTGTGGTGAAAACCACAAATCCAATTTTTGGGAATGTAAGACTCGCAAAGCGATCCTACAATCTCGTTCTAACCGACAGGTAAGAAACGCTCCACGTTTCCGACCAGGTACAAATTCCTCTGCTGTTAACAACGGTCAGCGAGGAACAAATTCTACATTCGTACCCGTAGGTACAAATATCACCCCTGCTTCAAATTTTTCATCTGTACCTAATCCCCTCGCTGCTAACAATGTTCAACGAGTTAATGGAGCTACCTATGCTGCTATTGCAGCGGGTAGAAATCAAAATACTAACCAAAGTAATTCTAACGGAAATTTTGACAATTTTGACTTAGGAAGCATTACTGCCCCTAAAATGGAATTTTTACAGAAATCATTAATTGACATGATTTCTGATATGCTTAAATCTAACTCCATGTTTGATGCTATTCAAACTGGAGTAAAATTTGCAAATAATATTGTCATGACTTTAAAATTCAGTAATGGATTTTAAAGCATTAAACATTTTAAATTGGAATGCTCGATCTCTTAAAGATAATGAAGACGAGCTATTCAACTTTTTGAGAGTTCATAACGTGCATATTGCCGTTATAACTGAAACGTTCCTTAAACCTGACCATAAGGTTAAGAAGGACGCAAATTACTTGATTTATAGAAATGATCGTCTTGATGGACCCTGTGGTGGCGTTGCCATCATTATTCATAGACGAATCAAACATAAAATTCTTTCTTCATTTGAAACCAAAGTTTTTGAAACTTTGGGAGTTTCTGTTGAAACAAAATTTGGACAACTTACGTTTATAGCTGCCTATTTGCCATTCCAATGCGTAGGCCAGAAAAAGAATTTTCTCAAGGGTGACCTCCAGAAACTTACCCGTCATAGGTCTAAATTCTTCATTATTGGTGATTTTAATGCAAAACACCGCTCATGGAATAATGCTCAAAGCAATTCCAATGGTAATATTCTGTTTGATGATTGTTCTGCAGGTTATTACACTATTCAATATCCAAACAGCCCAACATGCTTTTCTTCTGCAAGAAATCCCTCCACTATTGATTTGGTCTTAACTGATTCATGTCAACTTTGTAGCCAACTGGTTACCCATGCTGACTTCGGTTCTGATCACCTTCCAGTAACTTTTGAAATATCCCAAGAAATAATTTGTAATCCCAACAGCTCTACTTTCAATTACCATAGAGCTGATTGGGAGCAGTATCGAACATTTATGGAATATAACTTCGATCCAAACATTCCTTTGCAAACCAAAGATGAAATTAATTATGCTCTTGAATCTCTGACTACTTCTATAGTTGCAGCAAGAGCTGCCTCAGTACCAAAATGCGAGGTTAAATTCGATTCAATTATAATAGACGACGATCTTCAGCTCTTGATCCGTCTTAAAAATGTCCGTAGGAGACAATATCAAAGAACACGCGATCCTGCCATGAAAGTTATCTGGCGGGATTTGCAAAAACAAATTAAAAAGCGATTCTCTGCCCTGAGGAACAAAACTTTTGAAAATAATATTTCTAAATTAGACC